CACACAAAAGCAGTGAGTGAGTGCAAGTTTTTACAACTACCAAGTATAAAAATTTTTTTTAAACGTAAATTTTATTGTTTATTAAAAGACATAACAATATTTTTTGATACCATAAAGCTTGTACAAAATCCCTGCTGGAATATTTTACTTAATACATACATATCAATAATTATAAAGTTCAATATAACCCTATTTTTGTTTTAATTGTGTAAACAAATTATGAATTTATATATGTATTAGTACCCTGGCTTTACCCCTTTGGCAGGATACACCACTGATAAAAAGGAAATTATAAGGTTAGTAAAGGACCACTACTTCCAGGAAAAACATAATACAAAAAAAGGAAGTACATATTGCAGTAATTCAGGCTTAATATATTAGTTCTTATCAGTAACACAGTATTAAACTTAAACATCAATTATGGTTAATTCAAGTACTTAAAGGAGTGTAGGGTGAGGTATATCCAATTTAGCCTCTTAATCTTTAAATTTTGGATACAAGTATAGTTCTTATGTGCTAACATTAACTCAAAAAGGAGCTTCAGTATTTAGTCTAAATAATAACACAGTAGAATAAATTGGGAGCATCATTAACTTTTATCCAAAGATAGTTTAATGTGCGTCCTTGCAGCTATGATAATGTGGGTTTCTAATTGTTCGTATATTGATATTGAGGTATAAATACTACTTTATGTAAGATAATATCTAGTAGGGCTGAACGTGTTGTAGGTGACCATTAAGGTGTTGCTCCAGTAAAGTGGCTATAAATGTGGCTAGAGATGAGCGCAGTAATCAAAAATTTCGATTCGGCCTGAAATCCGGCGAATTCGAGGAATAAATTTGATGCGAATATAATTCACGGCTCGTGCGAATTTAAACATATAAAAAGGGTGTTTCTAGGCTTCAGAGAGCCGTTATATTAGTGCAGAAACACTGTACCCTTAATTTAAAAATGCCCTTGGAGTCTGCTGGGGAAGAGAAATAATACTGTCAGTCAGTATGACATGGCATGCAATGAGTGCCCGTCGCTCTTAGAATCACACCGCACACTAGTTCACTCCATTTGGGCAAGTCACGGGGCCAAAACCAGAGTGTGAGCCACAGTTGTATGGCGGTGGAGGCAGCAGCAAATGGGAGGCCATACAGCACCCTATGAAAAAATGGAACCCACCAGCAGTGTGAGGATGACCTGAAAGTGGCACATGGCAGAGTGTGGCGATGAGACAGCAGCAATGGGAGGCCGTACAGGGACCCATGACACACTCTGGAACCTGGCAGCAGCATGAGGAGGCGGTACAGGCCCCATGACAGATTACGGGCCTGGCAGCAGCATGAGGAGTCGGTACGGGGGCCCATGGCATATTACGGCCTGGCAGCAGCAATGGTGAGGCCCTGTAAATACTGCCAGCACACTATGACAAAAATGGAAACCCACCAGCATGTGAGGAGACCTTGAAATTGGCACATGGTCAGGAGTGTGGCAATTGAGAACAGCATCAATGGGAGGGCCGTACAGGGTGACCCATGACACACTGACTTGACCTGGCAAGGCAGCAATGATGAGGAGCGGTACAAAGTGGGCGCCCATGAACATATTTATACGGGCCTTGGCAGCAGCAATGAGGATCGTGTATTGGACGAATATTACGGGGGCCGCATGTCAGAATTAACGGTCCTGGCAATCAGCTAGTCGAGGCCCGTAATGCTGCCATGCAGCCCTATGACAAAATGGAACCCTCTCAGCATGTGTGAGGAGACCTGAAAGTGGCACATAGTCAGAGTGAGGCGATGGAAGACAGCAGCAATGGGAGGGCCGTACAGGGACCCATGAGACACTCCTGGACCTGGTGCAGCAGCATGATGGAGGTCGGTACAAGGGCCCATGACAGATTTTCGGGCCTGGCAGCAGCATGAGGAGTCCGGTACGGGGGCCGCATGGGAGCAGATAATCGGGCCTGTCAGCAAGCAATAAGAGTGCGCCGTAATCTGCCATCACCCATATGACAAAATGGAACCCACCAGCAGCGTGAGGAGAGACCTGAAGAGTGTGTCACATTGCAGATGAGTGTGGCCGATGGAGACAGCAGCAAATGGAAGGGCTTACAGGGACCCCATGAGACACTCTGGACCGTGGCATCAGCAATGAGGAGTGCTGGATACGTGGTCCGCATGGCAGATCTAACGTGCCTGCAAGCAGCAGCATGGGAGGCCCGGTAATCTGCCATCACCCAAAAAAATATCGAGCAAAATGGAACCACCCCAGAGTGGTGATGAGACATGAAAGTGGCACATGCAGAGTGTGGCGATGGAGACATGTCAGCAATGGGAGGCCCGTCACAGGGACCCCAATGGAACACACTCTGGTACCTGGCAGGCAGCATGAGTTAGGCGGTACTGTGGCCCCAATGGCAGATTACGGGCCTTGGCAGCACAGCAATGGGAGGCCCTTAATCTGCCGAGCACCCTATGACAAAATGGAACACCACCAGCCGTGTGAGGTGAGGAGACCTGAAAGTGGCACATGGCAGAGGTGGTGGCGATGGAAGACAGTCAGCAATGGTGAGGCGCCGTACAGGACCCATGAGACACTGCTTGGACCTTGGTGCAGCAGCAAAGATGAGGCGGTACAGGGGGCCCATGGCAAGAGTGGGCGAATCGTAAGCAGCTTTTAAAATTCGAAGGCCATACAGAGGCCTATGTTAAAAATAATAACATGTTTGGGGCATGATTCATGGCGGAATTTAGTCAGTTGTGTCCAGGAACTGTTGGTTTGAAATCCCAGACACTATCCATGCCTGATTCATTTTCACAACAATGTGAGTCTCTCTCACAATTTGGGTGGACAGTTCGTGTCCTCCGCGGAGTTTAACAAATACCTCCTGCCCGCACTAAACAACACGCGCTCACCGAATGCCACGCTACTTCACTACTTGTCCGGGCATGACACCCTTTTCAGATTGCAAAAATACATGCTAGTTTGGTGGGCCAAAGGACAAGTTTCGTTGTCCAGTAGTCAAGATGGTTCAGTTGTCTACCTCGTGTTGGCAGGTGTGCTGTCCAATGTAGGCCCGAGCCTGCTGTTTGATGGTCCTGCTCCAGTCACCTGATGCTGCTGGCTGCTGCGGCTGGTTAGTAGTTTCCTCACTGCGTCTGGTGAAGAAGCTACTCAAATCATCGACTCTGCAGACTGAGGCAGCTGTCAGCATGGAGTGAGCAGGCCACCTGCGCACCTACCACCCCACCCCATCCCCTTCTGTCCGATGGCAGCGGAAACGCGAGCGCACGAGGTCCCCACAGTGTCTGATGATGGACGTTGGAGCGCAGAAAAGAGGCAGAGACCAACTGACTACAACAGGTGGTTTTTTATAGTAACGTTTATTTTGACCTCCCTCTCAGCAGGTGGTGAAAAAGGCCAACCATTTTTTGAAAGGGTAGCGAGTGGACCAACACGTTGGACAGCCAAAAGTGCAGCCCTCTGTCTGAATTGTTATTATTCTGCCCTGTCGCTAGGCGACAAGCAACCGAGCGATGCTATGGGCCCATTTGTGTGCTCAAATAATGCGAGTGTACACCCTGCCTCCAATCTCCACGAGCATACTGCCCATGGTGCGTCTGGGACCTCTGTCACCTTCCTCCTCCTCTACCAGATGCACCTGCACACCACCTCCTGACCGATGAGGTGTAAAAACCACCCATATCACTCAATACTTCCTGATCACGCAATGTCCTCACTCTACCTCCTCCTCATTCTTCCTGTCCCCTGTGCCCCCACAGTTGTCATGTGTGCGTTGAGATCTGTGCGCCACTTCTACCGCACCCTGACCACAGCACCATTGTTAACAGCATTTGATTCCAGGACGTGCAGACAGAGGAATGTACGTCGTTCTCAAGCCCATCAGTACCTGCCGAACTCACGAATAGCGTGGCCTCCTCAAAGGGCCTGGAGCAAGCGGCCGAGGGTGTCACGCATGAGCAGCCGAATGGCTGACATCTAAGTTACACAGGTGATGATACGCCTTTATCCGCTTGGTAACATCAGGAAATCGGTGATGGCCTTTCGCTTGTTCGTAAAGGCGTTCTAACATATGAAGTGTTTGAATTCCACCTTGTTGCAACTCGCAGATCAGGCGATTGGCTGTGGAATTCCGTTCTGCCCGCTGCAGCTCAAGGAGGGTGTGCTTTGCGGTGTAGGAATGGCTGAAATGCATGCAAAGTTTACGTGACATTTTAAGTATGGTACTTGCAGTAGAGGGAATGGTGGATTTAGGAACCGCTTGACAACCAGATTGAACACGTGAGGCCATGCATGGCGCATAGCACAACCTTTCCTTGACGCAGAGCAGACACCATGTTTCTTTTCCATTGTCGGTCAACATGGTTCCGATTTTTCAGTTTGCGCGGAGACAGCCATCTGTCGATTTCTCTGTTTCATTACACTGAGAAGTTCCTCCCTGTGTGACTACGTTCGCCAAGGCATACCAGGTGCAGCACAGCGTGACACGGGGGTTGCGCCCTGCACATGTGATATGCCGGTCAGGGTAATGTGGACTTGGCACATGGGGTGGCGGTTTTGAGGACACAGGCGGAAGAAGAGGTGTAGAGGCGGTACATCTTTGCTGGTACCAAGGACGTGCAAACGTGGAGGCAAAAGCGGCGTGACCTGTCCAAGTTGCTGGTGCGGCTCGTGCCGCCACCACGTTCACCCAGTGGGCCGTGAAAATGACATGTACTGTCCATGACCGTAGTATTACAGCTCCACACGTCGGCGCTGCCGTGCACTTTGGCAGAGACCGACATGCTCAAAGACTGCCCACCATCTCTTCTACATGTGAATGCAGGGCTGGCAACTGCCTTTTTGGCAAAAGAAATGACCGGCTTGGCACTCTCTCCAACCGCGGCTCAGAACAAGCCATCATTTCTCGAAAGGTGCTGAGTCCACCACTTGGAAAGGGAGGGACTGCAGCACCAGCAACTTGGGACAGTGAGGAGACGTTCAGCTTCTGCACGTCGGGTGCTGCTCGCAAACTGTATGTCTCTTGGAAACGGATTCCAAGAAAGACTGCTGACGGAATCCGTGAAGAGGAGTAGCAGGAGAAGGAGCATCTGAACGAGCGGAAGATCCAACGAGCGACAACTCCCCTCAGCAGAGGTGGTTTGGAGCCTTGGACTGGTGATAGAGGGCGATTGACGTCGGGTGACGGAGGCAAAGTAACGGAGCTGGGTGATGGAGCGGGGGCTGGGGCAGGCAGAACCGCCGTATCTTTATCAACGGTTTCCCAGGCCACCGAAATGGTGACGCTGCATATAGCTGACGCAACGCTGTATTCCCAACATGGGCCCCCTGGCCACGCTTGACTTTCTGGTCACATAGTCGACATACAGCTACGTTTACTTCCTCGGGCGGCTTGACGAAAAAATTGCCACACCGCCGACTAGGAAACTTTGCCCCCGCTACTCCTCACTGGCTGACTGCTACTCCTTCCATCCGTGCAACACCGGCACCACTACTGGCCATGGTGGTAGGCTGCATGTGAGCTGGTGCTCTACTCCGTGGCCGTTTGGCCTCCACTGACACTGCTGCGACCCTGCTTCCTCCCGGGGGCAACCCACCGACTGTTTTGCTCGCTGCCAAGCTAGCACCCTCTTCTCCTGATGATGCGGAAGCAATAGCCTGATGACGACGAGGCTGCCAGATGCGATCAGCCTCATCATACATCAATTAGGGTCTCCGCCTCACTACTAGCCCCCTCGGCTGCGTGTGGGTCAGGAGACAGACCTGTCTCTAGACCGGCTACCGAGCCACTCTCTCTCGCCAGTACTTCTTCGCCTGGCTGCTGAAGAGGCGGAATGTTTCCCCCCGTTCCTGACCGCCTCTGTTAGCTCTTCCTCACTGTACAGTGGGCTGAGCCCACAGCATGCAGATACTTCGCTTGGTGAGGGAACACCAAAGGACAGGGCAGGTAGAGGACACGATGATGTTCAGTGGGCTTGCTCCCGTGCCATGCCCAACTAACGGTTGTGTCTGACGTACCCACCGACCGTTGGCTGTAGGTGGTCAGAGGTGAACCTGGAAGAGGAAGACGACCGAGCCAACTCAATCGAGATGACGGCAGGGTTGTTGGTGGAGACACGACCGCTGGATGACACCGGGAGCACTGGCCTCTGGCTGTGACTAGTGCTGCCTCGACCCCTTCCATCCTCTGCCTGCCATTGTGTCTAGCTCGATCCTAAAACATGGCCTCCTCTGACACTCCTCTGCATGTGTCTGACATACTCTTTAATTCAACGATTTTGTGTCCCTGAGTGACGATTCTGTGTCCCTGAGTAACAGTACATTCTGTGTCCCTGAGTAACGAAAAATTCTGTGTCCCTGATTAACAGTTCTGTGCCCCTGAGTAACAATTCTGTGTCCCTGAGTAACAATTCTGTGTCCCTGAGTAACAATTTTCTGTGTCCCTCAGTAACAATTCTGTGTCCCTCAGTAACAATTCTGTGTCCCTCAGTAACAATTCTGTGTCTGTCCCTGAGTAACAATTCTGTGTCCCTCAGTAACAATTCTGTGTCCCTTAGGAAACAATTCTGTGTCCCTCAGTAACAATTCTGTGTCTGTCCCTGAGTAACAATTCTGTGTCCCTCAGTAACAATTCTGTGTCCCTCAGTAACAATTCTGTTGCCCCTCAGTAACAATTCTGTGTCTGTTCCCTGAGTAACAATTCTGTTCCCCTGAGTAACAGTTCTGTGTCCCCTCAGTAACAATTCTGTGTCCCTGAGTAACAATTCTGTGTCCCTGAGTAAACAAATCTGTGTCCCTCAGTAACAATTCTGTGTCCTGTCCCTGATAACAATTCTGTGTCCCTCAGTAACAATTCTGTGTCCCTCAGTAACAATTCTGTGTCCCTCAGTAACAATTCTGTGTCTGTCCCTGAGTAACCAATTCTGTGTCCCTCAGTAACAATTCTGTGTCCCTCAGTAACAATTCTGTGTGCTTGTCCCTGAGTAACAATTCTGTGTCCCTGAGTAACATTCTGTGTCCCCACCCAGTAAACAATTCTGTGTCCCTCAGTAACAATTCTTTGTCTGTCCCTGAGTAACAATTCTGTGTCCCTGAAGTAACAGTTCTGTGTCCCTGAGTAACAATTCTGTGTCCCCCTCGAGTAACAGTTCTGTGTCCTGATAACAATTCTGTGTTCCTGAGTAACAATTCTGTTCCCTCAGTAACAATTCTGTGTCCCTCAGTAACAATTCTGTGTCTGTCCCTGAGTAACAATTCTGTGTCCCTACAGTAACCAATTCTGTGTAACCCCTCAGTAACAATTCTGTGTCCCTCAGTAACAATTCTGTGTCTGTCCCCGGAGTAACAATTCTGTGTCCCTGAGTAACAGTTTCTGTGTCCCTGAGTAACATTTTCTGTGTGGCCTGAGTAACAGTTCTGTGTCCCTGAGTAACAATTCCTGTGTCCCTGAGTAACAATATCAGTGTCCCTCAGTAACAATTTCTTTGTGTCTGTCCCTGAGTAACAATTCTGTGTCCCTCAGTAAAACAATTCTGTGTCCCTCATTAACAATTCTGTTGTCCCTCAGTAACAATTCTGTGTCTGTCCCTGAGTAACA